GGGTGTGTGTGTCTGTGTCTGTGTCTGTGTGTCTGTATGTTTGTGTCTGTGTGTGACTGTACGTGAATTTTTGAGAGTCAGCTGTGTGGTGCTTGCTGGTACCTACGATCTCCTGAAGTTTACAATTGTCTGGCGTCCACACATGTATATTGCCGATTATATATTTTGCCCTATATAAAGCCCTCCCCCCTCGCGCTCCTTTTATTTTTCAATCTCCAGTTCTTCAATCCCTATAGCGACTACTGCCTTGTAGTCAAGTTGTCCGTCGGGGTGACGTGTTCATAGCCGTATGAAATATCAATACAAATGGAATGGACGTTACACTTGGAACTCCTAAAACCTACTATACTAACTTTGTACTTACTATACTTACTACACTTACTGTGTACTTACTACACTTAGTATATACCTACTATACTTACTTTATACCTACCTTATACTTCCTATACTTAATACCCTCACTCCATACATACTACACTTACTCTATACCTACTATACACACTCTATACCTACCTCATACTTCCTATACTTACTACCCTCACTCCATACCTACTACACTTACTCTATACCTACTATACTTACTTTATACCTACCTCATACTTCCTATACTTACTACCCTCACTCCATACCTACTACACTTACTCTATACCTACTATACATACTTTATACCTACCTCATACTTCCTATACTTACTACCCTCACTCCAAACATACTACACTTACTCTATACCTACCATGCTTACTTCATACCTACCTCATACTTCCTATACTTACTACCCTCACTCCATACCTACTACACTTATTCTATACCTACTATACTTACTTCATACCCACCTTATACTTCCTATACTTACTCCCCTCACTCCATACCTACCATACCTACTTCACGCCTGTCTCGGCGTCCCGCGTGCTACACCAGGTTACTTGTCTACATCAACGAGTCGGTGGCTGGGCTAATCGGAGTCTACCCCTTCAGTGAACACCTCACCACCAATGTACTTACCTACACTCAGCGGTCCATGATTCTCAATACAACCAAGGTACGAATGCCGAGTATGCGACACAGACTATTGCCCTGCTGGGAGGTGTGGGGGTTTGAAAACCCCTAAAACCCAGCAGGTGTCTATTAGTTTACTATATGCAAGCTATGGTGCCCAGTTTTAGGGTTGGTGTGGCTTTGTGTGTGTGTAGTTAGGCTGTCCCCTGTGATAGGGTTTTAGGGTTGGTGTGGCTTCGTGTGTGTGTAGTTAGGCTATTTGTGCTGGTATGCGTATCCTACTACAGGCTCTCATTTGTATGCGAGCACGTTTCCAACTGCTGCAGTACGTTTATTGTATTCCACCCCTTCTCCCTAGCTGTGTACCTGTATACGTTTATTTCAGTCGTTAATACGATTTCACAAGTCAGTTGTATCCAGTGAATATTCGGCTACAATTCGAGCCAATATGTATGCGGTAGGCTCTCCTTGCTCTGTCACCCCCCAACCAACCCGCTAGTACATACATACGTACGTATGTGCAGGTGGGCAAACCCCTGCTTGAGTATTTATAAGTGTGTGATACTTCCTGGTGAACATTACATACGAGTATAGTACTTACTGACACATATTGTACATACTTGTATACATACGAGTATAGTACTTACTGACGTACATTTCGATATCTTACCCACCGATATACATTGAATAATCTTACAATGCTTAACGTCTATCAGGCGGAAAGAGACCTGGGCTACCAACCGTCACGCTCAGTGTACGAATCGATCAGTATGATTATGGAGACACGCCAACGCAATGCCAAACGATCTCGGCCGAATGAGACTGCGCAAACTGCCTTGGACACCACTCCACGCGGCGCTTAGCATAGCAAAGGTAGTAAAGTTATCACTAGTACATTGCCGGTATATATTTGTATTTG